ATATATAAATATACCAAGGGTCTGTAAAACAAAACAAAATTTCACATGGATTTCTTCAACTTAACATATATTATCTTCAAATACGTATATCTTAAAGTATTCCTTCTTTTGTATTTGTGGGGTTTTTGTTTGTTTGTTTGTTTGTTTTTCTTATCGAGACAGGGCCTTGCTGGGGAGTTCAAGCTGGTCTTGAACTCACTATGTAGCCTCAAATTTATTGTGATTCTCCTGCTTCAGCCTCTTGAGTACTGGGATTACAGATGTATGCCACCCCACCCAGCATTACTTTCTCCTGAAAGCTTACAATCACAGCTGCATTCCACGAGAGAGTATCTTTGCCCTGGACTATAATGGAACAGAAACGCTCTTTCCTGTCAGTTGCAGAAACTCGCTTAGGTAAAGACTGACCTAAAGATTAGTTTGAGTGTTCTGGTTTGCTTTAGTTGTTCACCACATCTTTCCTCTGTTGTTCTGCAAGCTCCAGTCTAAGGATATTTATTTTATTAACCAGTAAGTTTTTAAAATCTCACACAGAATATCACTCGAAGGATGTATCTGGAACAGTATGGAAATGATTTTTTTCATTTATGGCAGTTAAGGCAGAGTGTCAGCTCAATCGGCTTTGGTGTCCACATGGGGGATGGATGGAGCACACTTCCGGGTGTGTCTGGGTAGTTGTGGAGGTGTGGCTCGGTGTCTGTTAGGTCAGTGTCTGTGTCTGGTCCCTGCCCCTTCCTCTCTGATGCTGTTTGCCTGCTCTGCTTCCTGGCCTCCATGAAACAAGCATCTTTGCTCCGCCAGACCCTTCTGCCATGATGTTCCTACCTGGGAGCCAGACAGCCGTGGATTAAATCCCCTGAAACCTGAGCCACACCAAACATCTCCTCTTTTAAGATGTAAGTGTCAGGTGTTGTTTCTCAGTAATCGTTGAGCTAATGTGTCATTGACACCCCCTCCATGTTTTTGGTACTGGGGATTGGACCAGGGCTTTCCCACTGAGCTACATCCCTAGCTCTTTTTTATTTCAATTTTTAACACGTGGTCTCTCTAAGTCACTGAGTTGCTTATGCTGTGGTTGAATTTCTCATCCTCCTGCATCAGCCTTCCAGAGCCCAAGCCGCCCGTGTATGCCACTACACCCGGCTCCTAATGTTTTTAAAATCATGTGAATGTGTTTTCTGTTCAAGATAACAAAATTTTACCTAAGGTTATACTAAAATCAAGAAATTACAACTCCAAATTTTTACAGTCTAGTTGTTTTTCTCATTGTTTGTTTTAAAATTAGTTTTTATCTGTTTCTAGCAATTTATAAAGTGATTTAATATAATCAGGGCCAATGTTCAGCCCATGTTCATTGGCGTGTCTGGCTAGTTTTTATTGGTGGCATCACCAGTTGTTAAATATTTTTAGATCATTCTGGATAAAATTCAAGGTCTTCAGAATTTTTTTTAAAAGACCCTTTTCATCTATTTACCATAGCTAGTAGAAAATATATTTGCAAAGATCATTGTTATCTATCCTCTAAAAAAAGAATAAACTATAGAGGGCAGGATGGTTTTTATTGTATTTCATTTTATATCCCCTGATACAAGAAAGTTAGCATTTTTACATGAATAAATGATATTTATTTTTGTCTTTTGCCTAACAAATGTATTGCTTAATTGTACTAAATCATATGGAAGTCTAGGTACTCCTGTAAAACCTAATGCAAAAGAAAGGAGAAATCAAGATACTAAGGTTTTAACGGCAGTCTCATTATAAGATCTAATTTTTTGTTTTAAATCTTATTCTGGTATTTAGAAGTAAAGTCATTTTTTTATTGAGTTTATTGGTACATTTAAGGTATACAGTACAGTTACATTCATCATTGGGATCTTGTACCTTTGCATGACAGGTCTTGGTTCTCATTTTTTCCCCTTGTCCCTGCCCTCCTTTCACCCCCTCCTCCCCTCCCCATTTACAAACACTTTATTTCCATTTTTTCATTTTCTCATATGAAGTAAAGTAATTTTTTAAAAGTCTGGATTACCAGGTGTCACAGCACACGCCTATAATCCCAGCACCTGGGTGGTCGAGGCAGGAGAAATGCCAGAACTTTGAGACCAATCTGGGCTACATAGTAAGTTCAAGGGCAACCTGAACTACACAGTGAGATCCTGTCTCCAAAGAACTGAAAAGATAAAAAATTTAAAACTCTGGATGGAGAGGTAAAACATAATAAGAATCCTACTCAATAATGGGCAATCCAAAAGTATTTTTATATTAGGGCGTAGAATTTCATTTTTGTTTATATGTGTCCACACGGTTCTGTCTGATGTTTTGTGTAGCAACAGACAAAATAGTTAAGATAAACCTAAAAAGATCTTCTATTTTCCTGTTCATCCTGCTACTTAATCCCTATTCTCTCCGCCCTTCAATTTCTGTTAGAGAAGGCAATCGCCTCCCAAATATGCATGAAACACCAACAGGGAAAATAAAAGATTTAAAGGAAAGTCTGTCATTTTCTTTCAGCTTCTGCCATATTAACAGAAATAGTAGTAGTAACATTTTAAGTAAAATAACATCATTTTCAACTTGCTAGAAACAGCCATAATCAGAATGCATTCGCTTTCCTATTGCTGGGCCAAAATACCTGACACCTAAAATTTAAAGGCGGAAAGCTTATTCAGCTCACAGTGCCAGGGGGTTCGGTCTTGATTGGCTTCAAGCAGAAACAGCATGGTGGAAAGACATGGCGGAGTAAAGCTGCTCAACCCATGGCAGCCAGGAAGCAGAGAGAGCAAGAGGAGGTTCTGGCGACAAGAATACACCTTTCCAGGTCATTTCCCCAGTGCCTACATTGTTTAATCAGGCCCCACTTCGTAACAGCACTTTTAGCCATTAGCTCATCAATGGGTGAATCTGCTGATGAGTATAGCACACCCATGATTCTCTCATCTTTCAAAAGTCCCGCCTCTGAACTCATGAGATCTTAGGGGGATATTCTTGATCTAAACCACAACACAGAAGCCCGGCGTGGTGGCCCAGGCCTGTAATCCCAGCACTCTGGAGGCTGAGGCAGGAGGATCGCTGTGAGTTCGAGACCAGCCTGGGCTACACAGTGAGTTCCAGGTCAACCTCAACTACATAGTGAGACCCTGTCTCAAAAAACAAAACAACAACAACAACAACAAACCTATAACACACAGTTAAAATTCACAAGAGAAGCAGGCAAAAACATTTTGTGAATTGCATGATAGATATAGGATTTAAAGGGCTGGGGGATGTAGCTTAGTGGTAGAGCAATTGCCTAGCATGGACCAAAGCCCTAGGTTGAATCCCCAGCACCACAAAATAAATAATAAGCAAAAGTACTAAATTGAGCAAATAGATCGTGGCACACCTATCCTACAATGAATGAATAAGAAAACAGTATGGTCTTGAGTTCATCATCTATCAGGACATCTATGGCTGTATTTTATTTCTTAAAGGGCTACAAGGCATTCCATGAGATGTTTATACCCTATTTTATGTAATTGCTTTTGATTTGATGGATCTATATCTATAGATAAATATATATTCAACCCAGCAGTGGGCACAAAGCGGGAGAGGGTGAGCAGAGTGCCAGGGTGACACTGTCCCCTCTCCCGACCGCTGCCAAGCACCTGGGAGACAGAGGGATCATCATGACCCCCACTTCCCCACTCTGCACCAGTCGAGACTGAGCTGAGTGACATTGTGTGTGTGTGTGTGTGTGTGTGTGTGTATGTTTGTACGAATACATAGGCATGAAAATTAAACTTTGAAAGGTGATTATCTCTGGGAAATGAAGTAAGAGTCAGTGGAGATTGGCCTGATTGGGATTTTTAGGTTTGATTTTCCCAAATCTGATTGAAACTTTAAAAACAAGGATATACTCATACTTTAATGGTGAAATCGAACCTTTCATGATAAGACTCAGAAACTGAGCCAAACCAAGAAGTGTAACCCATAAACAAAAAATATGAATCTTCCCTCTTTACCCCCACTCCCACGCACACCCTGTTCTTGCTACCCTGAGTGGGACGAGTGGAACCTGACAGCTCCTTTCTTCATATCCTGGAACTGCGGCAAGAATCCTGCAACAGCGACTCTAAAAATAGCATCTTCACAGTTCCAGTGAGTCAGGCGAGCTCTGTGAAACAGCATCCTTTGGGAGGGACCTGGGAAAGGAGGTACCACACCCCGTACTAGAATAGAATAACAAGATCCTAACTGCTTCTCAGCCTCACACATTGTATCCCTCGATTTTATGTGATTATATATATTAACTTCAGACATGATATCAGAAATATGGGAGATTATCAAATTCCTGTAGCGTTAACTCTGTCATGGATCATCTACCTTTTGGATTATTCCTAGTGCCTCCTAAATCCCAAAGGGATTTCCCCTACTCTTAAGCATTCTTCTGAGTCATCTATCCACCTTGAATTGGTAGGAGTTCAAGGAATGCAAATTTATTTTCTATTAGCTTAAGAAAGCACAATTACAAGGGTAAATCTCTTAAGGCAAGAATGCCTATCAAAGCCAAATATAAATTACCTTTGGCCATTGTAATCAGGGAAATAAATGAGGAGCCAGTGTAACTTTCTTTTTAATCTCTGGGGAAAAGCATTTAATGTTTTCTTTTATAGAGTTCTTCAGTACACATTTAATAATCCTAATGTTCTTTTTATGTTCATTTTCCATCACTCATTCTGGAGTCTGAGTTCCTTCTCTTAGAGGGCACCTAGGAGAGTAGACGAGCTAATCTCAGTCATTCTAATATGATAATTTGATGCATTTTACTTTAATTTTGACACACTGTCTTCTTTTACCTTGATTTAATTCACAGACATGTTTTTTTGTTTGTTTGTTTGTTTGTTTGTTTTCGGTACCCAGGGTTGAACTCAGGACCTTGTGCTTGCAAGGCAAGTGCAGGCTCCACTGAACTAAATCCCCAACCCCTATACGTGTTTTTAACGTCTTTATGCCATTGTATAATAATGGCTGTTATTTCCACAATGAGTCATTGTAGACTCACTAAGAAAAATATTTACTACACACACACATATATATATATTTTATGCATAGTATTTGATTCTCAAAATAGCTCTACAATGCAGATATAATTATTCTTAATGTATAAATGAGGAAATTTGGGCTGAAATACTTCTAGTGAGTTTTAGAAATAATGGACAATTGAGAATGAGACATCCAGTATTCACTCCTGTTAGTAAACCCGAAATGCAGAAACTGTAAAATGTTACTGAGGGCCCTGAACTGCAGTTGAGGAAAATAGGTTCAGATAGCTCTGAATCAGGGTTGTGACAAAGGTAGGGAGCTTCTACAGGCCAAAATCTCTTTAGCCATTACAAGGCGATTAAAATCGTGTAAAGAGGAATTCCTTTGGAAGGTGCACAGAACGGGAGGGCTGGAGGGCACATCCCGAGGTGACATCCGCAGCCCGCGTCTTATGCCCTAATAAGAGCAAATTCACACGCATGCACGTAGGTGCACTCACAGAAGTTGTGCAAGGATTACTTGACAGAGGCTCTATGATGATAGAAGATAAAGAATGAATAAACCAAGTGGAAATGCCCGTAAAACAAGGCTTGACAACCTCTGGACAAGCAACTGGAGTCTTTGAACACTGAGTCCAGCAGTCAAAGCGTGGAGGTGACTGCAGTTCTCATCCCAGGAAGTAGCTTCAGACCTGTGTACGTCCTGTCCCGTCAAGGTCCCTGGTGCCATTTTGAGAAGTTCTTCAACGTTGGCCATTTTCTTTTTCTCTCTTTCCTTCCTTTCTTTCTTTTTTTTTTTTTTTTTTTTTTTTTTTTGGTTGGGGGAGGTGCTGGGCCTCACTCATTCTGAGCATCAGTATTGCTTTTCGTCATGATTTTTCCATTTATTTTTACAGTCTCAAGCTCCCCTCACTCATCCCCAAGCGCACCGTACTGCCATACTGTATCCTGTCATGTTGCTATTTTACAGTTTGTTTAGCTGATGCCCTTCTTTAGGCATTTTGAGTCATCTCTAGTTTCTTACAGCAATCCTAATAATCTCACGAAAAAAAAGTCTTTGTAGGGGCAGGAGATTTGGCTCAGTGGTTCTGTCACCTGCCCTCTAGTGCAAGGGCCCAAGTTCGATCCCTGGTACCAAAAATAGAAAAAAAAAAAAAAAAAAAGTCTTTGTAACCATTACTCTGTGGTTTCCATATAGCTCAGTCCCTACAGAGTCACACAGAACTACCCAAAAGTAATTTTAAAAAAACAACAAATTCCAATATTCATTTTGCTTCTCAAAGGAAAATCACAGGAGTCCAGTTCAGAACTCATAACGATACTGCTCAGATCTCTGTCCTTCCCCAGTACTCTTTCACTACCTCCTGGAGAAGCAATCATGGCTGCGAAGAACCCCGTAATTCTCATCAGGGCTCAGCCTCAGAGCCCAGATTCCATCTCCTCTAACTTCCCCTTTCATCTTCTTGAGCTTGGTCCTACCCTCTGGCCCCTCCTTGGTGTCTCTCTACTTACTCCTCTGAGAGTCCATCCCTTAAGAACGGGGGAAGAAACCACCCCTGTGGAAGTTGTAGGTATGAGTTGCGCAGAAATCTGGGCTCACACACATGAATCAGTTTTATTCCTGTGGTATTTGAAGGGGAAGAGTTTGTTTTTTCACTTTATTCAGGTTTTTTTTTTCTCATCCTTGTATTATAGTCTCCAATGTGTTATTGAATAGATTGATAATACTGAGTAGATTTAATCAAGAAATATCGCTACTAATTACAAAAATATGTTGTGCAACTTTACTGAAGCTGACTTGTCAAGAGGCTTGAACTGAGCAGGGCAGGGTAGTGCATGCCTGTAGTCCCCGCGCTCAGGAGGCTGAGATAGGAAGATCATTGAGAGTTCAAGTCCAGCCTGAAGTACATAGCAAGATACTATCTCAAAGGGTTGCGGATTTAGCTCAGTGGTCCCACCGCCTGCCTTGCAAGCACAAGGACCGAACTTTGATCCCCAGTATCAAAAAATAAAAAAAAAAATAGATACTACTCCCAACTTATTATTTTATGTAACTCAAGTTCTGAAGCCAGAAGCACTTCAGGGTTCATACTTAAGTCATGTACACATTTATACATATAAATGTGAGAAAGGGCAGGCAGGTAGCAAAACACAAAATTTCCTGAATAGGAGCAGAAAAGTATGCTGTGCATTAGAAATAAATGACTAGGCCACACAAGGTAGCACATTCCTGTGATCCCAGCACTCAGGTGGCCGAGGCAGGAAGATCACAGAGAGATTGAGGCCAACCCGGGTTACATAGTAAATTCAAGGCCAGCCCGAACTACATAGCAAGACCCTGTCTCAAAAACAAGAAAGAATGAAGGAATGGACTAAACTGTGCTATTCGCGTGTCTTCCCCATAATGAGTCTCTGCTGTCAGACCAAACCTCCAGCTCTTTGTGTCTTGCTTTGTCTTTCCAGTTTGACAAATGGACAGACTCCCAAAGGAGGAGAATCCTCACCAGCCTGTTGGAGCGTTGCTCACTGTCCCAGCAGAAATTCTGCTGTCGAAAGCTTCAGGAGAAAATCCCAGCAGAAGCCCTGGATTTTACTACCAAGCTCCCCAGGGTGTTATCTGTGTACATCTTTTCCTTCCTGGATCCCCGAAGCCTTTGTCGCTGTGCACAGGTAAGGACGGAGGCTTAGGAAACTCTGAAACTCCAGTAACTTGAGGATGAAACTCCACATGCACATGTGTAAAACTGGCCGGTAGATGTGGAGTCCGGGGAGGCTGAATGATTCTCTGTCTCCATTGTATCTCACTGGATTTAGTGCTCACAGGGAGGAAAAGCATAAGACACCAAAGGTGTCCACGGAAGAAGAGTATTAGTGGGGAGATGCAGACGCCTGTTAGCGATGGTTCTCAGCAGGATGTTCTCATTGCACAGCACACAGCTGCAGTGTGACCCTAAACTGCAGACTGCAGGCTGCCCATGAATAGAAAAAGCTCTAAATAAGGAGCCCATCAGCATGAATAAGAGAGAAGAGACCCAGGTGAGCAGACCAAGGCCCTGGCTATTTTTTTCTTTAAAATAATTATGTAGTACATTAAAGCAAAGTTAAATTATTTAAGCTATAAAACTGATAGTCATTCTTGATGATCTTTCTTTCTTTCTCTTATTTTCAGTATTAGGGATTGATCTCAGGGCCTTCAAACTGAGCTACTTCCCCCACATGCTTTTTTTTTTCCTTTTGATTTTTGAGATAAGATCTTGCTACACTACACTGGCTGGTCTTGAACTGTCTGTCAGTCCTCCTGCCTCACCCTCCCAGAGTCCTGGGATTACAGATGTGCACCACCTCACCTAGCTGACTTCTCATAGAATTTAGTCAAACCAGAAATTACCTGCCGCTATACAGTCACATAAGATTAAGAAAATAAATACAGTCAGAAACAAACAGTGTTGGGACTCTTGGGCAGGTGCCTATAAAAAAAAATGCCAATAGAAAAGAAGACTTATATCACACCAAAGGAAACCAAGCACTCAGGAAAAACAAAACACAACAAAACAAAACAAAACAAAAAAAAAAACACAAGGCAAGAGGCCTTTATGAATATTCTACAATACCCAGAAGCCTTAAAAGAAAATGTGCAATTTCCAGCCTTGCTGTATTCATTTTCAGTATCGTGAGCAGCATGAAAGCAGCAAGAGTTTAAATTGTGACTATAAAAATAAAAATATTCTGCATGGAAAAGAATGCCATAAATAAATCCAACCAGTAGCAGGGAAAAAATATATTGCTAACAAAGGGCTATTTCCTTATTTTAAAAAATAATTCCTGTAAAATAGAAATATATTAAGAAGACAGAGGACCAGGGATTTAGCTCAGTGGTTCCGCCACCTGCCTTGCAAGCAGAAGGTTCCGAGTTCGATCCTTGGTACCAAAAATAAAAAAAAAAAAAAAAAAAAAAAAAAAAAAAAAAAAAAGAAGAGAGAAAATATTTAACCCATCAAAAAATGAGCAAAGAAAATGAACAACTATTTCACACCAGAGAAAGCGAAAGAGAGAGAGAGAGAGAGAAATGTGGATGTTTCTACCATATGCAGGCTGAGCCATTTCTCATCACTCAGGTTGGTTTTCTGTTAATGATAATATTCTGCATTGGCAAGAGCTTGGGGAAAACAAGGGCCTTCATGCACTGCTAGTAGACAAACTGGTACAACCACCACAGAGAGCAGCTGGGTAGCAACTTGGTAGTGTTAAATTTTTCAGTAAGAATTCCTTTCAGCACCGCCATGGCACTGTTCGGTGAGTATGTTGGTCAGATGGGTATACGTCAAGCTGTGTTAAAATTATTGCCATATAAGGATATTGCAGCATTGTTTGTTATAGCAGAAGGCAGGAAACAATGGAGAAGTCCAGCAGGTGGGGACAGGGTAAATAAGTTGTGACGATCACCAAGGTATGGTATAAAATAAAAAGGCAAAGCTGTAGAACAGGAAGGTTCTGGCATTTGGGGAAGAAACAGAATAGATGTGCATTCGTTCATTTGTGCCTAGAATAGTTCTGGACTGACCTGTAAGCAGCAGGCAACAGTTGTACCCAGAGCTAGAAATGAGTGGCTGGGGACAGGAATAGGAGAGACTGATATTTCACCATGTGCCCCTTTGTTTCTTTGAATTTTATATTACTGTACACATATTACCTATTCTAAAATGAAATTAAAATATAAAGGAGCATAGTAATCTAAGTGTTCAACATTAGGGGAGTCATACAGCTCTGTGATGAATTGTTATGCAGCCGTTAGAAATGCTGTGGAATGGGGCCAAGGATTTAGCTCAGTGGTGCCGCCACCTGCCTTACAAGTACAAGGTCCTGAGTTCAATCCCCAGTACCAAAAACTAACTAACTAACTAACTAAATAAATGCCATGGAAGAACAGAGATCTTGTGACAGTTAAATGAAGAAAGCAAGGTTAAAAAGAAAAAGAAAACAAGGTTTCCGCATACAGATAGTTTCCCAGTTTTGTCTCATACATGCCTTAAAAGGGAAAGCTGAAAATAGAAGAACTCTACTGTTTTGTCAGTAATGGTCATCTCTGACTGATGAGGTTATAGGTGTTGCTTTTCTTTTGTATCTTTATTAAATTTATTGGGACATTTTAGGTATACGATACAGTTATGTTCATCCTTGGGATCTTGTACCTATACATGACTTACCAGGTTCTTATTTTTCCCCATTCCCCAGCCCTCCCCTCAGACCGCTCCACTTCCTTGTTTACAAAGACGTTGTTTCTATATTTTTCCTTTTCACACTTTTTTTCTTTTCCCTTGTCCCTTTTTCCCCTTCTCCTACCCCTCCCACTTCCTCTACTCTTTTAGACTTTTCTTCCTATTACACAATATCAATTATACATTTTAATCTTTATTTATACTTTTACTTTTTCACACCAGAGAAACTATTCCATATTTACGTATGTGTAACTTATTAATTTCACTTAAGAGTGTGGCCTCAATGTGCATCCACTTTTCTGTAAATCTCCCTAGTTTCTCATTCTTTATGGCTGAGTAGTACTCCATTTTATTTTTAAAAGTTGCTTTTCTTAAAACTTCTCAGGATTTCCCAGGTTTTCCACCATGGGATTGTGGTCACTGGAGAGAAATGCTATTTGAACAGCAGATTCCATCCTCTGTGTCAATCTCCCTTCCAGCTGTTGCACTTTTTATTTCTTCTAATGATGTGCTAGTCTTTTTTTAATATTCCATCTTCAGCACATAAAACAGTACTAACATAGTTGGAACTCAATAAATGAATGGAAGGAGAGAGAAAGAGAAGGATAGAAAAATGGATGGATGCAGCTGGCCGTGGTGGTACACACATGTAATCCCACCGCTGTGAGGCTGAGGCAGGAGGATCAAAAGTTTGAGCGCAGCCTGGGTGACTTATCTACATAGTGACACCCTGTCTCAAAATAAAGAGGTAAGGGATATAGCTCGGTGCAAAGGCCTTGGGCTCAATTCCCAGTAACACACACACACACACACACACACACACACACACACACACATGTGCACATGCACGTGCATCTATGGATAACAAGGGCCATTAGGGAACATAGTCCAGTTTATGAGGGGCATTTTGAGGGGTATTAATGATTTAATTAATCTTGGAAAGAGACTAGTCTTCAAGGGTGAAATTTGGGTTTGAGAGTTAGATGCCATTTTTGCAACTCTTACAACTTAGCTACCGAATCACTAGTCACAACTTTATATATGAATCTAACTTAGTTCCTAGCAAGGTTCCTATTGCAACCCGAGACAATTATTGTAAATACTGCTACACCCACTGGGGCCATCTTCCCCCTCTCCCTGGAGGTAGGGGATCAGCCGTAATGCTAAGGGTATGGAATCCCAAAGGCATTATAATGCACACTGAACAGGACTGGTAGTTGTGTTCCATTTATAAAATTGTGTTTAGAGAAACAGAAGAAGGAAAGGGAAAGGAAGCAGACCACAAAAGGAACAGCAACGTGCAGACCTGAGTTTAAGAAACCTTCATGTAACTTTCATATGACTTTCAGGATGAGCCTAAGAGCCCTCATTTGCCATAGGAGAGCAATAACCATGCTCATATCCTAGATTGCAAGGAGGGTGGTTAATATGTAGCCAGTAATATTAGCAGACTGCGGCCAAGTCTGAGTTAGCATTTAAAGTAACCCCGCTCGGGGGAGGAGGTAACTCAGCTTTGATTTGGAGGAAAATGACAGAAGAAAGTGGGTCAGGTCCAGACTGACAGCGCAGAGCCTAGAGGAAGTGGGCCTTGCCCTGCGTGGGTGTTTGTGTTTCTGATTGTCGTTGTTTTTCCAGGTGAGCTGGCACTGGAAGAACTTAGCAGAACTGGACCAGCTGTGGATGCTGAAATGCTTACGGTTCAACTGGTGCATCAGTGTCTCCCCGAGTCCCTTCGAGCAGGGGATATGGAAGGAGCACTACATCCAGATGGTGAAGAAGCTTCATGTCACCAAGCCCAAGGTACAAGAGACCGAGAGCAGCAAACTTGCAAACATCAGCCGTAACGCATTTGAGAGCTGAGAGCAGACGATGAAACCTGAAGCTGAGGAGGGGAGGCGACTCCAAGGGCGTCTCCTTCTGTGATTTCCAAAGGCCCCTTTTCGGAGACACCAAAACCCTTTTTAGGGTGCCCACATTAGTTGAGGGCCCTCACCTGCCACCCTAGCCCACAGCTGTGTCCAAGAGGGCAGCGCTATGGTGACCTCCCCCTGTCCTGGTCCCTGATATCTACACCTCTAGCTTAGATACGGTTCTGACCCAGGAACTCTGGATAATGTGCAGTATTTGTTACCTATAACCATCATATTTTGCTTTACTGATTCAATTTTCCGAGATCCTGCAAGGTGGAGGTTTGTCTGTCTTGACAGGGTCTCCTTGACCTTGAACTCACTCTGTAGCCCAGGCTGGCCTTGAACTCATGGCAGTTCTTCTGCCTCAGCCTCCCCCATGCTGGGATTGCAGGTGTGCGCCACTACACCCAGCTTGGATTTTGCTTTTCACTTTTATTGATTTATCTCTTGCGACACTGAGGATGGAACCCAGGGTCTCACACTTGCTAGGCAAGTGCTTTACCACTGAGCCGTCATCCCAGAATTTATTTATTTATTTATCTATCTATTTATTGATGGTACTGGATTGAACTCAGAGCCTTTGCACTGAGCTGCATCCTCAGCCCTTTTTTATTTTGAGACAGGACCCGCTAAATTGCTAAGTTGCCCAAGCTGGGTTCAAACTTAGGATCCTGCCTCACCTTGAAGGGTACAGGGATTACAGGTATACGCCTCTACTCCCAGCTTAAATTTTATTTTTGTATCATTTATAAGGGGAGGTTTTCCAATACAGTTGTTAACTAAAGGAAGGGAATAAAAAAGAGTGTAATTAAAGATCTTTTTTTAGGCTAGACACTAAGAAATGTATGACATGTATGTAAAATCAGAAAAAGTAAATAATGCAAGAATGATTTTTTCTAGTGGCTTGCAGTGCATTATAAGCAGTGTTTATTTTCACATTTACAGTCACAGCTAACTAGATAATTTATTGGAAGATTTTGTTTATGGTGTTATCTATGAACACGTACTGTTATGCACCATTTTGTGAAAAAGACGAGCTCCTGAAAAATTACATGTAAATTAATTTTTCAAGTAATTTTAAATCATAAGGGTATCATAGTCTGTTAAAAAAACTGCAGGGAATCCTTTTAAAATTGAAGAATCTTTTTGCAATATGAATAGTCAACTCCTAACTTGCTTATTTAGTTTTGGGTTTTATTGTACTTTCTTAAAGTAGACTCTATCTACATTTAATGTCGTGGTAAAATATGCATAATTAGTATTGTTACAATTGCAACAATAAAACTAGTCTTTCTGATGTCAGTAGCTGGTGTACCCCATGAGGCTTCCTTTAGAAAAAGAGGTAACTTTAATTATTTATATAAAAATTGGGTTTTGAAGTGGGATCTTGCTGTGTTGTCCAGGCTGACCTCGAATTCACAGTGATCATGCCTCAGCCTCCCGAGAAGCTGGGATTACAGATGTTACACTACCACCTGCTAACAAAGCTAAGTTTAGATGCAGAACTTTACAAGTCCTTTTCAAAATTACCTTAGCTAGAATGCTTTTCCTTTATTAGGCTTTTCTAGAATCTCATTCTCAGGCCACAGGGAGTGGCTTTCAGCAGCTGAAGCTCAGGCTATCCTGGACTGCGGAGAGCAATGTGATTAACTGCTAGACTGCGAGGGGACTTTGAGTAGAACATATAAAACCAACCTCATGCTTTTTATTCAGAAAGAATGCTTTCCACAGAACACTTACGTGTAACTATGCCTAAAAATAATGGGTGTTCGGATGCAAGAAAATTGCTACCTCTTTATGTGGTATGACATTTCTGCAGTGAATACATTGCTATATGAAACTTAAGGGTTATTTTTGGCTGTTGTTGTTAAAGAAATGGAACTAAATTAGAAAGGCAAAGATTAAGAAAATCAAATAGTAGCTGGGCATGGTAGTACACACTTGTAATCCGAGCACTCAGGAGGCTAAGGAAGGAGGATTTCAAGACCAGGACAACATAGTGAGGTCTGTTACAAATACCTTCATGTTACTAAATTCAACAACCTAGACAAATGGACAAAATCCTTGAAAAACACAAATTAGCATAACTAACTCAATAGTCAATAGAAAACATGAATAAATCTGTATTACTTAATTATTATTATATTTTTGGTACTGGGGATGGAACTCGGGTCCATGTGCTTGCAAGGGCGGTGGCGGAACCCACTGAGCTAAAGCCCTGGCCCAATCTGTATTAATTTAAAATTGAATATACAATTTTAAAACCTCCACCCACATCCAGACTAGATAGCTTCACTGGTGAATTCTCTCATCATATTTACACACGAAATAATACCAATTCTACATAAACTCTTTGAAAACAGGGGAAGAAGGAATATTTCCCAACTCATTACTCTTATACCAAAATCAGACAGAGACTTTACAAGAAAAAAAAACCACAGATCAATATTCCTCTGGAACACAGAGACAGTTTGAGCCAAGCAGGGATACCCTTCAAGGTATTAACAAATTCAGTCCAAGAATACCTGAACCAAGTGGGATGTACCCATGAAAAAATCACATCGGCCTCCTAGTAAAAAAAATCAATCAGAAAAAGAGAAAAATGTATGATCATTTTATATTGAGAGGGCCTTAATTTACTATCATTTTTTATTGGTCCGTGTGTGTAGTCAATGATGACAGCCCCTGTGGGGAGTTGGTGTGTGTACACAACACACCTCAAGTCTTTTTGTGCCCCCTCCTCTCTGCTGCCAACCCTCTGCTTCCATCTCTGAGTTCCTGTCCTATTTGCAAAAGACGAGTCATTTAGCTGGGTGTGGTAGTGCTCACCCGTAATCCAAGAACTGGGCAGTCTGAGTCAGGAGACCACTGTAAGTTCGAGGCCAGCCTGGGTTATGAAGTGAGTTCAAGGCCCCCTAGTAGTCATTTGTGGGAAATTGGATGCACCTTGAGGCCATAGTGTTAAGAGAAATCAGACGCACAAGCTTATATATCACACGGTTTCTCATATAAGAGCATAAATAAATAATACATGCAAACAAAGTCATTTAATGGAATTTAACATTCATTCCTGATGACAATAAATTCTCAGCAAGATTTCAGGCTGAGGATGTAGCTCTGTGGTAGGGCAAGCACTTGCCTAGATGCTAGAGGCCCTGGGTTAGATGCCCAGCAGCAAAACCAAACAAATAGACTCCAAGTAACATACGCAAAAATTTGGTTTATTTCACATAAAAAATTTTTACAGATTTTGTTACTACCCATTTTGTACTTTGTATTTTGTTCAGATTTTTTTTCAGCCCTGAGGATTGAACTCAAAGGTGCTCCATCACTGAGCTACCTCCCAGCTCTTTATATTTTTTATTTTGAGACAGAGTCTCACTGAATTGCCCAAGCTGCCCTCAGACTTATGATCCTCCTGCCTCAGCCTGCCAAGTAGCTGGGATTACAGGTGTGTACCACCACATTCAGCAAGAATTAATCATTGTTATATATAATTGCTGGCATTTATATCTGAATATTTTCCTCTGTAATACTTTTTATATTACTATATATTATTTATTTTTAGTAATAACGAACTAGACCTCCTCTTGCAAAAATAAGCTTACAGAAATAAGATGAATGGCATTCTAGGTGAGACCTGCCAGAAATACTGACTTATACTAGTATAAAATGTGTTCTTAATCTGCTGTGAGGCTATCATTAATCATTAAGTGAGTAAATATTTATTATACCCTGTTGTGTACAAGGAGCTAAGCGTATAGAGATCCTTTTTTCCCATTCTAGTCTAGTAGCCCAGGACAGACACGAATAAACAAAATGGGAATCATAACCCTGAGTCCTAAGTAGGATTTTGTAATAGAAATGGGTACAGGGCCAGGGATTTAGCTCAGTGGCACCACATCTGCCTCCCAAGCTCAAGGTCGTGAGTTCAATCCCCGGTATGAGAGGGGTCGGGGGAGAGGTACAAAGAGCAGTTGAAGCACTAGACTGAGGAATCACTTTCTTTTCTCATCTTTCCTTTCTTTGCCCTTTCTCTCTGTCTCTCTGTCTCTCTGTCTCTCTGTCTCTCTGTCTCTCTCTCTCTCTCTCTCTCTCTCTCTGATGGGACCCTGGGCCTGCTGTGTGCTAAGCATGGGCGACACCCCAGGTCCCAGCTGGGGAATTTCTGGATTTTCATGCACAATTGAAACAAACCAATTTACCAAGTAAAACTTCCCTAACCTCTTAATGAACAAAAATTAAGCTCTCAAGGCATCCCAGCATACCAGTGACCTTTCTCTAAGGCTACACCCACGTACAAACCTTATGAATTTTACCCATGAAAGACAGACTTTCAATTTGAGAAATTACCCAGAAGTGTCCTTCAGGAATAGTTGAGTTGGGCAACTGATGAGACCTATAGTCTACCCCTATTTGGCTCAAAATGTACATTAGAAATCTTTAGGCTGGAGCACCTATTTCTTTTGGAATTGCATCTTTTTTATGAATAAAATGACAAAGTAGACAAGGATATGGTAGGGAAGCTGGTGGTACAGAAGAAGGAGGTTTGGAGTGTGGGTTCAGAGCGAGACGGTCCTGGATTCAAACTCATGTTCTACCTGGATTGTAGTGGGTAAATTCATTGGTTTCGCTTGTCTTTAGTTTCCTTCCCTGTAAAATAGGAGTAATATGAGGGACTTCAAAAGTACTGTGAAGATTAAATAATAGAACGCATGTAAACTGCTCAAGACCTCCGGGCACATAGAAAGTTCTCTGGAGCCGCAGCTACTGTGGTCATCACGGTTCTCGTTGCCATGGCGATGGGGTGGCAGTGCTGCTGACAGTATTGTTTGTTTTATTGTTGTCATTATTAGCATAGTGCTCTGGGAACAGCAATAATACATTTGCTTCCCCTAGACACCTCCAAAAGATGGCTTTGTCATCGCCAGTGTTCAGCCACTTGCCAGCAGCTCTCCACGGGATAAGCAGTCCCCTCTTTGGTCCTCCTCCACAAGAAAAAAGAGTAACCCAGGGGAGAAGGAGCTTCCGCCTTGGCGGTCCTCTGACAAGCACCCGACGGATATCATTCGTTTTAATTATTTGGACAACTGTGACCCCTTCCAGCCCAGCTCCCAAGGGTAAGAAGCTCTGTGTCCTCCTCAGCCTCTTTGCTGTTCAGAACACTTTAGGGACATTTCAGTGGGTGAGAAGGCGAAAATAAAACTTGCTGTGAGACACAAAGGTTTTTCCGTACAAAGAAGCAAGAAGTCATTGAAAAAGTAAATGAACCACTTGTAGAAAATTTGCCCTATGAATCCTGATTTATCTGAACTTTATAGCTGCAATTACTTAACACAGTAGCCTCTTTTGATGTTTTAATATTAAACTCCAAGCCAGCACCACATAGCTGTTCCCTTTTTCAAAGTATTTGTGCTTCCTTTGTCCAAGTGAGTGGGTAATTGAGAGAAGCACCCTTAGATACACACATCTGTTAAGATAAACTGATGATCTCCAAGGTGCTGCTGTTGTTGTTTTGAGAAAGGGTCTTGCTCAGTAATTCAGACTGGCCTGGAACTCACTATGTAGCCCAGACTGGCCTCAACTCTCAGCAGTCCTCCTGCCTCAGCCTCCCGAGTGCTGTGATTACAGGTGTGTGCCAGCACACCTAGCTTTCTCCTGAGTTATCTTTGAGACTCAAACACTTGTGACCAAGGAAACAGGATGGGGTGGACTTTTAAAAAGATCAGGCCAACCTGGGAGCAGGAAGTGCACACCTGTAATCCGAGGTGTGCTATTTGGGAGGCCGAGGTGGAAAGATTGTAAATTTGAGGTCAGCCTGTGCTGTATAGGAAGACAATACCTCAGAATAAATATTTTTTAAAAACAAAGTTGGTAGTGTAGCTCAGTGGTAGATTACTTGCCTAACATGTGTAAGGTTCTTGTGGTGCAAGCCTAAAATCTCAGCTATTGGGGAGGCTGAGGCAGGAAGACCACAAGTTTAAGGCCAGCTTGGGCAATTTAGTGAGCCCTTATCTCAAAATGTACAAAAAAAAACCACTTAGGGATATAGGTCAGTATTACCTGGGTTCATTCTCCAGGACCACAAATACTAGTAATAATAATAATAATAATAATATTTTAAATTAAAGTACAGGGGGGCCAGGGATTTGGCTCAGTGGTTCTACCACCTGTCTCGAAAGTGCAAGGGCCCGAGTTCAATCCCCAGTACCAAAAATAAGTAAATTAATTAAATTAAATAAAGTACAGGAGCTGGGGATTTAGCTCAATGGCCCCGCGCCTGCCTCACAAGCACAAGGACCTGAGTTCAATCCACAGTAACAACAACAGCAACAACAAAATTAAAGTACAAGCATGTATGTATGTATATATATATATATATATATATATGTACTTTTTGGAAGTTCCTCCTTTCTGAAATGAGCAGCATGTGGCAATGCATTTACTCTCTTTACCTTCTTTTTCTTGTAACATTATGGCCTGGTGCTCATTCTGCAGTCATCTGTAGAAATATTCTGCCTTTCTTTTTACCGTTCATAGTACTCCACTGTGCGCTGGGCTAGAGCTCATCCAACTGGTTCTCTATTGATAGGCTTTTGGCTTATTTCCAGTTGAATGCAGACAGCCTTTTAAATCACAGGACAAAGAAGCCACACGAACATATAGCTACGCATACCCCACGCTGCCAAAGTTGTAAAATGATAATGTGTAATCACCCCCCCGCCTTTCAATTTACAGAAGAAGAAAAAGAAATGAGTTGACCCCAGATTTCAGCCGACAATCACACGATAAGAAAAGTAAGCAGCAGGACAGAGCCAGACTAAGAAAAGCACAGTCCCTGGTAAGTCTTGCTTATAAAAGATTCATCGCCAGAACCGTTTATGAAAATTGCAGCATTGCTAATCCTACTTAGGAAATTGAATTTGTTTTTGAAATCAGAATCATCGTGTGGTTAATTGAAGACGCCCTTTATTGGATCTTCCTAAGTCTGGTTTCTCATCTCTGTTTTCAAGAAACTGGGTGAGCTGATGGGCATGAAACTGCTTTGAAAACTGTCCAAGATAGAGGGGGTATCTTCATCGCTGGTTCTTCTTCTGCTTTGTCCTTTGGGACAGGACTGGAGGCCCCCAGAAGTCGCTCTCCAAGGAGAGGTCCCCTGACCCGGAGGAAGGCGGGCTTCCCGGAGCTGCAGCTGCCAGCAGCAGAGCACGATTAGGAAAGCGCAGTGCAGTGACTGCAGAGTGATAAATCAAGAACTCTTCTTTCTCTAATTAAAAAAACAGCAAATTGACTGCCTAATAAAGTCGGTAATTGGGACGAGGAAGCATCCTTGATTCACAGCACAACTTCCCAAATTGTGGTTCCGAGCCCCAGCAGGTCCCTTGTTGCTCTGCAGGAGCAGAGAATGCAGACTGGAGGGAAAGTTCCTGTATGGAGGAGGAGCAGAGTTAGAGGAAGGCTGAGGGAAAATGAGAAGAAACGCACGTCGTCGGCTGGGGGCGGCGTGTGGCACTCACAGATAAATCACTTCTATAGCTCTACAGCCTTACTGTTCTCCACCTAAATGTATTTTCAAATGTATATTCCAAAAGTAAAGATTAAGGATGTAAGAGAGCTAGAGATGAGTGTTTTAAAATAGAGCAGCCTGTATTCTGAGGCCAATTTTGTGGGACTGAGGAAGCCTGTGCTAAAGGCAGGACGAGTGACGCGTCCCGGAGCCCTGTCCTGAGATTGTCTGAGGCCAGAACCCTCACTTCTGCTGGGAAAGGGACGCGGGTGACAGTTGGAGATGCTAAAGCTTTGTCAGTAACGGACATAATGGAAAGACCCGGAAGAGAAAAGGAGCAGAAATAATGGAGTAGAAAGAACGCAGCTCCCCGGGGTCCTGGCTGTCAGGCGAGGAGGTCGCCTCTCCTCTTCTCTGTCTTTACTGAGAGCGCTGATTGGAGGTTCTGCTGCAGAGAGAAAGGTTCTCAGGGAAGCACTTTCAAAGGTGCACATGTTGCTGTGAGTTTGCATGGTTTCCGTTATTTAATAGGCGTGAGTTTGAAAGGGCAGCCGATTTTCTCTTCTGCTCTCAATTCTGGACAAGTTCCCCAGGGGCGGCTTCAGTGACAACCTTAGTCACAGCTGGCTTCATCTCACCCCTTTGTGCTGTGCGTGACTGGCAGAAGATGGGATGAAAGCTTAGATTTGATTGCTAATGCTTCACAATTTCCAGGACTTACAAAGATTTTATAAATATCGTGAAACACCATTACTTTTAGTTATGGTAATAAAGTCCCACATGAGACAGAGTATTTAGATAGATAGATAGGTAGAATGATAGAGTCAGTAGTATCTTTAAACTTGTGCAAAGATCTTTCAATCTTGCGCAAAGGCATGCACAATTTTTTTTGAAAGATCTTGCTGAACATGGTGATGTACACCTATAATCCCAGCCCTTGGGAGGCTGAGGCAGGAGGATCCCAGTGCAAACAAAACAACAAAAAAAGATCTCAACAGCCGGCCCCACAATTTCATTTAGGAAAAGAGGGAGCCAGGTGGTGGGGAAAGGTGTTGATGAACAGGTAGGGAGAGAATAAATCATGAGGGCCTGGTCTTAGCAGGTACCAGGGGACCAGAGTAAGGGGACTTCTGTGCTTGAGATCGGGAAGAGAATTTGTATTTTGTTGTTTCTACTTCTGGAAGGGAAGGAGGAGGAGAGGGAGTGGTATGAAAGAGCAAAGAGGAGGATAAAAGGAAAGAAATAGATTAAGGGGAGAGGGACCAGGGTGGTAGTGACATCTTGGGTTCTGGTTGAGTTGGTTTCCTAAGAAGATGTGAGCACCTCCTTCTGTCTCTGCAGGAAAGTTTGCTCAGTGTACATGTGCAAGCAGGATCTTAAAACCCTAGGCAGCCGAGAAAATGAAAAGCCCATGGGACAATTCACAAAAATCAAGGAAACCGGATTTCCTGGGCTGGTGAACTGGACTCAGAACCCCCAGCTGACGTCTTGTTTTGCTTTTCTGTTCCTGCTATGTCAGTGTAAAAACAAGTACCTTTTGTGGCACAGTGAGCTCTTCCTTGGGAGGTGGAAATCCCTACTTTCTAGGTCCTGATTTGGCTGTGGGTTTCACAAAGCTTCCTGTTTCCCAGTTGGCCTCCACCCAAGGAGCAAAAGCCTGAGATGAGACCTTATCTCTTCCAGCCTCTGAAATCACCTTCTGCGCCTCCTTCCAGGAGAACTTTACTTGGAGCATCAGAACTTTACATCAGGAGCATCCTGATGTTTACCGGATGTTTCTGCAAGGTTTCTCACTCTGTTTTTCCTCACAAGGTCAAGTAGGAGAAAAAAAAAGAATGTGATTCCGAGAGATTCCGGGATCCGGTGGTGGAGAGAATCAGGCAGCCCAGGGGCCAGCTTCAGCTCCACGGCTGACTAGCGGTCCTTCCCCCTCCCGGAATGTGACACCTTTAAAGTCCCTTCCCGGCTAAAGGACCTAAGGGGTCCCCTCGATTTTCCTTCATGCCCCTTACATGAAGGACAGAGCTCTGGTCGAAGTGGCTTGACACAGGCCACCAAAGATAAGCTGTTACATTTCTTGGGTTTTTTCATTTTTCTTTCCTTTTAAGCGCACATTCACAGCACTTAGCAGCCACACTCCTTGCGGGGAGCTGGTCCATGCACATAACCCCTCGATGCCTTTTCCACCCCTCTTCGCCCTCCTTCCTTCATCTCTAGTAGTGTATATTTAGCAGTTAACACGTTTGTGTTCTGCCCATTAAATGTCATCTTATTTTTCACTTTGCTGTCAAAGAGCACAGATGGGGACTCAGAAAGCCCGAGTTCAGGGCCCGGTACTGCAATCTGAGTAGCCTGGTGATTTAGGCTAAGTCACTCAGCCTCTCCGGGGCTTCTTTCCCCGTGTGAAGAATGAAATCAGTGACAAGCCAGACGCAGGGTCGGTGCCGGGAGGTAAGGAATGTAGCCCAGCTCCCAGCTCAAAGCAGGCGCTCGGTACAAGTTGAGCACCCCAGACCTGAAAACCAGAATTTTGAAACGCTCTAAAACCCAAAACTTCTCGAGCACCCACAGGATGCCACAAGGAGACAATTCCACACCGGACCTCAAGTGGCAAGTCACAGTGCAAATGCTGGTGCACAAACACCGTGGTATGAAATTACCCTCAGGCTATGGGTATGAGGTACATGTGAACATAATTGAGTTTCCTGTTTGAACATGGATCCGTCTCCACTTATACACAAATATTCCAACACCTGAACATTTCTGGTCCCGAGCAGCTGTGATAAGACCGACTCAGCCTGTAGCAGCAGCAGCAGTAAAATCACACAGAATCACTGCCTGAGCCCATGAAGAAAAAGCTCCAGGGCAGCTGAGACACAGCCCAGAGGAGAGAGAGCAGCCCGGCAGCCAGAAGGCGGTGGCAGGGGGCTCCATCCCCTTTACCCTTTACTACCCTGCTCCTGCTTTCTGTTTTCTTTTCTCTTGTTTTTCCTTCTTCCTAGAATCCATTTCCACTGTGTAAGACAAGGTTGCAGGGCTGGCAGTGTAACTCAGTGCTAGAGCATTGCCCTAGCGTGTGCCAGGCTTGTGTTCAGTCCCCAGTCCTGCAAATGGAAGGAAACGGAGCCGGGAAGAAAGGGTTGCATCCACAGCGACCAGAAGTGTGAGCTCTGTGCGCTCTTTCCTGCACCACTGCTGCATGGCTTTGTGCTCTTGCACACTTCCCCTTACACTGTTGTGCTTTCACTCAACGCATCTGGACTGGAGGGGTGGGGGTGAATCTCTGCTCACTAATGCAGTCTTGGTCGGAGTTCATTTTGAGAACAAAGAGAGGAAAATCCCTCTTTAAGGACTGGGACCATTGCAGGGTCTTTGCTTGTCTCCTTTGCTGCTAGGAGAGTGGAACTTACTTGCTCAGTCTTGATCCTTTTGTTTATCCTGCTAGACTCTGTAAGTTACATGGGCACTTCCAGCTACAGTGGTCCTGTGTTGCTGAACATTCAGACAGGTGTCAAGTGCCTTTTGGTTTTCACTCACACGAAGTAGCTTCCTTTTAGGGTCCACTGGAAGAACCATGTTTGCGAATTATATAATATTATTAATTATACACATATTAGTGATGACGTTTTACTTTTATTTTTGACACAAGGTCTCACTATGTATTCATTCCAGGTTAGCCTTGAACTCACTTTGTAGCCCAGGCTGGCTTCGAACCTTGAGGCGATCCTCCTGTCTTGGCCTCCCGAGTGCTAGGATTACATGCATGTACCACCAAGCTTGGCAATGACAATATGTTTTAAACACTATTACTACTGGGGTTTAGCGTGTGTGTATGTGTAGCATTTAGTACTGTGATATTAGACCAACAACTACAGTAGAAGCCAATTTTCGAAGACATGAATGTTTTGAAATACAAGTCCATGACCATTGCTAATATACTGCCCAGACTTTATGGCCTGTACCCATTTTGCAGCACATAATCTCCTTTATTTCACCTATTTGGATGGCTCAATGGTGTAGGCAGGGAGTCTTGGATTTCGATTTCAAAACTTTGGCTAACACTGCTTAACCTTTCTCTGCAGCTGATAGTTTCACCTCAAGATAAATCAACAGCACAAGCCTGAGGCATCTTTAAAACTGTACTGATTATTTCTCCTAAACACCTTGCTGCTATCTCTTGTAGAACAAGTGAGGAAGCAAAAAGGAACTCATACTTCATGGGTTTCACCAAAGCAGGGACCCCTGTGAGGAGACTGGGCAGGTCTGGCCAGGCTCCTGGGCATGGGAGGCACAAAGTCCTCCCTGCAGCATTGCAGATGGGAAAGCCCGGAAGA